CAGTTTCAGAATAACCCTCACACTATATAAGAATAGTTAAACTCTAAAAGTCATAGAAGTGACATTGTAAAACAAACAATCCAAAACAAAACCTAACTGTGGCCATTGTATTTAGTCATCTTTAGGGGAAAATAGAAGTTACATTGCTTAATTGCTTGGTAGACTTAAGCAAACCCTTAATCTCTCTGAGTCTCATTCACCTGTAAAATAGGGATGAGAACAGTTACATGTAGGGTTATCATGAGGATTACATGAGATAACATAGCCTGGGATTTATGACAGGGCTCAATAAGTGGTAGCTATTACAATGAAGATGGGACAGCAGATAGCATATTTCCAAGACTCGATAACCTCACATGTTCTTTGCCCATAAACCAAAAGGAAATAAAGTTGTGCTTTTTTTGATATGAAATAGTTGAGATTCTTGATTCATGCATTTAGGAAGAAAAATTATGGGTAGAAAAATTCCTATCTCCATTATATTACCCAAAATGGCAGAAAAGTCTTTCCTCTCATTTGATGTAGTTAAAAGAAAGAAAAGAACTTAAGGTAACAACCTAATTCCTTGTTACATTCCTAATCTCTTGTTTTGTTTTCATGACTGACTTCCCTTTAATTCATATCTATAGATACTTATACTCTTTTTTTCTCCTGTGTTCTGATTATCTATCAGTGACCATACCTTTCTCTACTTTTACCACAATAATACATGCCTTTCTTTAACTTGTCACTACTGGCACATGAGCCAAAAATCTCATATAATCACTCTTTCAGCAATCTCTGGGCATCCTCCTTCCCTCAAATCTTTGTATTGCCTCCAGTTATTTCCCTCCTCTACAGAAAGGAAAAAGAAATAAAGATGTTATTAAAATTATAGCACAACAGTTTTTCTGTTATAAAATTTATATCAGAAAGATTGATGAAAAGAAATTCTCCTAAACATATGGCTGATAAGTTTCTAGAAGTCATCATAGGGAGAATTGACCTCTATTCACATAAGAAATTCTCTAAAGTGGACACTGGCTAAAGGAAATCAAGTAAATAGAGTTAGAGAACTGTTAGGGTACTCTGTGTTTCATGGCTGCAAACATTTTTCCAATCCAACTATTCAGTTGTTTCCATTAGCATGTCTAGAAAAGTGACCTCTACCCAAGTGTCCATCAGAATAACCTGTTGAGGTGTTTTAAAAATACCAAAGTTTGGACTGTACCTCAGAGGTCCTGAATCAGAGTCTTTGGGGTGGGACTTGAGCACACAGATTCTTTAAAACTTTGTGAATAATTCTGATGTACAGCCAGGGTTAAGAATCATTGGCACACAACATTCTTTTGGGGCCCTTAAAACCTACAAAGAAATAATTTTGGACAGGACAATAATGTGGTCCTTAATTTGAACAGAGTTCAAAGTAGAATCTACAATTTTAAATCTTAAACTTGGACAGATATGAGTTATTTATGGAACTGTCAATTTTGTTAAAATGACCATTTTAGAAACAGTAACACAGTCTCAAACAGAATCGGTTTCCGAATTATCAAAATATTTCTATTATTTAGAAGAATGCTCTAACTTAATACCTAGATCTCTAAGTCATGCTTAGACCAAACAAGCAACAATTTACATAAACATTTCCCCCTTTATATTACTGCTATCTCTTCTACTGTAATTCTGGGCGTTCACTATGTGATATAATATTTTCACTATGTGAATAATAGTGTCGGTGGAACAACAATGGAGAATTTGAATTCAATTCAACTCAAATGGGTGGATTTATCCTGTTAGTTAAGATGTGTGCTGGAGGGCCGACCCTGTGGCGCACTTGGGAGAGTGCAGCGCTGGGAGTGCAGCGACGCTTCCGCGGCGGGTTCGGATCCTATATAGGAATGGCCGGTGCGCTCACTGGCTGAGCGCGGTGCGGGCGACACCAAGCCAAGGGTTGCGATCCCCTTACTGGTCACGAAAAAAGATTAAAAAAGATAAAAAAGATGTGTGCTGGAGTATCACTGTGCTTGTAGAGCAGGCTTCAGTGGCTCCTGTCTTAATTTAAAGTACTGCATTTTAACTCCCAGTTTCTGCTGCTACATTATTATAAATACTTTTACAGCCCATTCCTCAAGCCTTGTTCTTGCCTGACCTTATTATGAAGTCATTCAGAGCTGAAGAAATATTCTTTTTTCATTAAATTTAAAAATCATAGGCTTTCTAACCAATTGGAAAGTATATTTTAAATACTATTAAAGTACATAAAAATGACAGTTCCAAGATTTTTTGAAAACAATTTTTTTTAAACTGGAAATGGCACAAGCACTGCAACTTTAATGTGAATTATAACTTTGGCTCAGAAGTGAATTTTGATTTCCTTGGTAACTTTTATATTGATAGAAATCAGATTACAAGGTACACATGGAATTTTTTTCCCTTTAACTATAGATAGGAGAGTTGTAGACTTAATATATTCTAACCATCTAGTTCACAGATGCATTTTCTTATTACCATTCACCTCAGAATCAGTTAGTTCATGAAGAATCTTTTGGGAAAGATTAACCAGTCCATCCTGGAGGATGTGGGCATCATATGAGAATCGAGTAAGCCAATCGCACAGAGATGTATAGAGACAATAAAAACTATGCAATTCTCATGAAATTCTAGTAACTTAAAGTATCATTTGCACCAATGCATTTCATTTAGGACTTTCAGTGCAAAAAAGCAAAAAATGGATAATGCAAAGAAAAAAAAGGAAAAAATAAAGCTAAAAGTTACAGATTTTTCTTAAAGGAAGCTGTATGCATTTTACAGAAAATGAATATCAGTTGAAAAATATGAAAGTATTTTAAAAAGTACAAAGCGCTGTGTAAAATAAAGTATTATTTCATGTTTGTACTAGAGTCCTAGATCCCAGTGAGATTTCTACTTAGCCTAATCATTTTTTCTTGTGTAGAAATGTAAAAAAAGTGACAAATCCTTTACAATTCACTATGTATCTTCTTCTGTATGGCAGAAATTAAATTATGGCTTCATAATCTTGTACATTAAATGCTCAAAGTGATTAAAAACAACAATAGAAACCAACCCTGGGGTTCTCTCTCAGCTCCTTTGCTAATAGTGTGTCATTAGCCAGGCCCTTTGGCCTGCATACAGTCACAGTGTCCATTTACAGTATATGCCTGTATATTCTTGCTCTCAACTCAAAATGATTTATTTTAGCCACCATTCTTTTCTATGTACTTCAGATTTTTGTTTGTTTTTGAGCCTAGTAAGATACACCTTTTCGAGTATGCATTTTGACATCTAGATTCCTACATAGAAAAATACTCATTCTTGAGCACAAGAGAATAGCAAAAAGAAACCCCAATATCTAATGTAATTTTGGGAAGTTCATTTGTAATCTTTTTGAAGACCAGAGATTCACACGGTTCTTTCATGGAGTAACAACATCCCATTAAAGACAGGTGGATTCACAACAGAAGTAATTTTTTAAAAACTCTTTCCTTTCATGATTTTTTATTTATGTGTCATTAATGAGATCCAAACAGTCTGTTGCTGTCCTTATTAACACCTGCTTTCCTTCCCTATCCATTTTCTTCATAGCTGCAGCAGCACTAACTCATCTCTCCTGACCAACTCCCATCCCCGCCCCTGAAATCAAACTTCTTTCACAACCCACTTGTCTTTTCTTATTCCTTTTTCATTCCCTATCTCAGCTCTTTATTATAAAACTAATTCCTTTTCTCATGTGAATATTTCTTTCTGTCTAGAGGTGAGGAGCAGGGGAGAAACGTCTCTGACCATGAAGGTCTTCCCTTTGGTGGGAGGAAGCTTGGCTACAAACACGCTCACTTTAATCAGTCCTGCGCCGTCACACACATCATATAATAAAAGACAGTTCACTAAATTTCCTTTAGCCAATGTCCACTTTAGACAATTTCTTATGTAAATATGGGTCAATTCTCCCCATGATGACTTCTAGAAATGTATCAACCATATGTAGAGGAGACTTTCTTTTCATCAATCTTTCTGCTGTAAATTTAATAACGGAAAGACTGTCGTGCTATAATTATAATAAAATCTTGATGATTTCTTTTTCCTTTCTGTAGAGGAAGGAAACAACTAGAGTCAATACAAATAAAGATTTGAGGGAAGGAGGATGCTCAGAGATTGCTGAGTGACTAGATGAGATTTTTGGCTCATGTGCCAGTAGTGACAATTTAGAGAAAAGCATGTATTGTGGTAAAAGTAGAAAAAGGTTTGGTCACTGAATAGATAGAACATAGGAGAAAAAAAGAATATAAGTATCTAGAGATATGAATGAAAATGAAGTCAGTCATGAAAATACAACAAGGAATTAGCATTGTAACAGGGAATGAGGTTGTTACTTTTCTTAAGTTCTTCTTTTCTTTCTTTTACCTACATCAAATGAAAGATATTCTTTCTATTTTTGGTAATATGATGGAGATGGAAATATTTTTCCCCATTATCTTCGCCCTTCTCATCTTCCAAGTAAAGCATTTTGTTTGCAACCAGGAATGATGGATCTTAAATAATATAATTCTAAAACTACGAAAAAAGACAAAAAGGAAAAAAAAAAAAAAAAAGAAAGCCAGGATTCTGTGTAAACTTCTCTTCTGGCTTTATTACATGGAAACTCGTCTTTATATGCTCCCTAAGTGCACTAAATCAGCTGACAGTACCAAGCAGGAGCGGGTTTACTTTGTAATCCTCCTAAATGACTGGCAATAGACCTGTCCTGAAGAAAAACGCTCCCGCTGGCTCCTCCTCGCTTCTATCTCCTTTCTATCACATTATCAATAGATTAGAGTTGCGAATAGCAGAATACGTCTCTGGTGAAAAAAATCTCATCAGACAAAGAGATATGACAAAAAAACCATTAAACAGGAATTTCTACGTCAGATTGTATTAGGGAAAAACAAATGAATGGCNAAAAAACCATTAAACAGGAATTTCTACGTCAGATTGTATTAGGGAAAAACAAATGAATGGCTCACCTTTATATACAATGGCTCCCTAAGGTGATCAACAAGAATGCAAGCTTTTTCTTCCCACACAGGATTGAGGTTCTTGTGTATTGTTTTACTTCTAAAAACTTCTTTGCCTCCAATTTTAAACTTCACGTATGGATCACTTGTTCCTGTTAAAGAGATACAGATTGATCCATGTTAATCATGCCTTTCTATGGAAGCAACTTAGTGAAACATCAGAAAGTATTTAAAGAAAGAAAAGTTAAATGCCACTTATCACCTGGGAAAGTAAGGGTAAGTATTTTTCCTAAATTTTTCCTTATATATTGAAGTGATAGTAAGTTATTAATATTATTATTTTATCTTTTGTTTTTAATCCTGTAACCTTGTCCTAATGTTTTTTAAAAAAACAAAACTCCATTGTATGCTGAATATGTAAATTTAATTCAAATTATACATCATAGAGATTAATCTAACATTTCTCCTGGTATCATCTGGTCAACTAAAAAAAGGATGATCGATCTAGGCTGATTTAAGTAGTTTTAAAAATATATATGCTGCAGAAATTTTATATTAGGCTAATGAGCTTAGGGAAAGGTGAGTCTCAAATTTGGTTTCATTTCATCCTATTTGGTTCTGTATTGCTTCTTGCTCAGAAGCTTCCATTTTACAATGTTAGGAAGGGAGGAAGGTCTCAGAGGAGGGTATCAGGCGAAGGGTGACAAATGTTCATTAAATGAACTGGATACTTTGTATTATCCCCTGATACCTCCCAAGCTCCCTGTGATGATAAAGAAAATTCAGAGCTTTCAAGTAAGTTGCTTATAGATACACAGTTGCTCATAGACACATATCTAGCTCATAGATACTTAGAGAAGGGCCTTTACATATTTACATACATATTATACTGTTTTTCATTTGGGAGTGAGGCTGATGAATGAGACCAATCTTGACCTAATGAAGGTCTATGTTGTTATTAAGGATTCCTAGAAAAGGTGAATCAATGACATCCCCAAGTAAGTTATTCCAGTGTGTGACAATCTTCTTCATTAGTTATAAGGCCTGACTCCCTTATAAAATTTGGCTTAATTTTTCCTGTTTTGTCCAAATTGAAGCTACAGTTGATAACTATGGTCTATATGATTTAAAGAAAAATATG